TAAAATCATATTATGTTATCAACTCTTGTGCCTTTTTCCTGGGCGTGTGAGTTCTCATGGCTTCATTATGTTCAGTAAGGAGCAGAACATGGCACAGATTTTGGCTCCCTCTACACAATGGCAGATGAGAATCACAAAAAGTTCTGCCAATGCAAGCCCCGTTTCATCAAAAACATGGAGTTCTTTACTGTTTAAAAAAAATAAGAAAGGTGCATCTACCAGCTCTTCTAAATTCAGGGTGTTGGCAATCAAGTCTGAAAATAGTACCATCAACAGGCTAGAGAATCTGCTCAATCTGGATATCACTCCATACACTGATAAGATTATTGCGGAGTACATTTGGTATTTCATATCACTGTCTTCCCCTCTCTCTTGTACATGCTTTTCTCTGTGTTTATATTTTACTTTTGAGTTAAACCTTATGAATAGCCAATCATGAATAACCATTTCCATTTTTATGCTTCTGTATGAGAATACTGGTGTTTAAAAATGTCATATTATTCCGTGAAACAGGATTGGGGGGACAGGAATTGATGTGCGCAGCAAATCAAGGGTATGTTATTTTTAATGTTGAGGACAGGCTAGAAAAAGACATTATTATTTCATCTTAGTTGAAATTTGACTAATGTCACGCTTTTATGAATTTTATATTGATTTCAGACTTTATCAAGGCCGGTTAAACATCCCTCTGAGCTCCCTAAGTGGAATTATGATGGATCTAGCACTGGACAAGCACCTGGCGAAGACAGTGAAGTAATCCTATAGTAAGACTCTTGTAACTTACACTCTTTTTGACACTATTCTATAATCTATACTATGACAGTTTAAGTTACTTTTCTTACTTTATTCAGTCCTCAAGCAATTTTCAAAGATCCTTTCCGTGGTGGTAACAATATTTTGGTAAGAGCTGGGATATCTAAAAGAGTCTAATTTTGAGTTATTGAAATATAATGCAAATATCATTAAGATAATTTGTATTATACTTTTTTGCAAAGGTAATTTGTGATTCATACACCCCAGCAGGCGAGCCTATCCCCACAAACAAGCGGCACAGAGCTGCTCAAATCTTTAGTAACCCAAAGGTCGTAGCTGAAGTCCCATGGTATATATTCTCCTTGCTTTTGTTGTAACATGCCATTGCATGCATAGAAGAAAGGGTAAACACACCATTGTGGCAATGAAATGTATACTTTTATGGGCCAATATTTTAAACAATATTTACCTACCATCATAGAGCTTCTTAAATCTTTAGTAGCCCGATTTTCATAGCTGAAGTTCCATGGTATATATTCTACTTGTTTTTCATTGAAGTACATCATTATACGTATAGAAGAAAGGATAAGCTCATGGTCATTATGATCAAATGTATGCTTTTATGGGGCAATTTTTTAAAAATACTGAGCAACTATTATTTTAAAGTGAGAATTCTGCTGCTTAGCATGAACTCTTTGTTGCATAAACCTGAAGGCATATTCTTAGGAAAACTGCCAAATGAGTTCAGTATTGATATAACCTATTTAATAATTTATGTTCCAATGCATATGGTATATCTTTTCTCGCAATGCCTAATTTTATGTATGCATGGGATTTTTCCTTCGCTTGATCAATTATATTAACCTTTGTCCTTAGATAACTGAGCCTTTGTTGTTAACTGTTGAATCATTGCCTTGAAGAAGAAAGCATGCTAATTGTTTTTGTTGATTGTTCCAAGGTTCGGAATAGAACAAGAGTACACTTTACTTCAAACAAATGTACAATGGCCTTTAGGTTGGCCTGTTGGAGGCTATCCTGGTCCTCAGGTAATGCATTTCCTACATCTACCGTCAACTTTTATCCAGATTTATAGGAATTTGATAATTCTTTTAGATGAATAGAATCTAATTACTCCTTAATCTATTAGGGTCCCTATTATTGTGCTGCTGGAGCAGATAAATCATTTGGCCGTGATATATCAGATGCTCATTATAAGGCTTGCTTGTATGCTGGAATTAACATTAGTGGTACCAATGGAGAGGTTATGCCTGGGCAGGTCTTTCTCACACCATTCCCTTTCTTTTATGGCTTATGTTACTTTGAGCATAATCGTTTCCTTACTTTTTCTTTCGTGAATATTGCAGTGGGAGTTTCAAGTTGGTCCTAGTGTAGGTATTGATGCTGGTGATCATATTTGGTGTGCGAGGTACATCCTCGAGGTAGTTCAGTTTCCCTACTTTTATTGTACATGTACCTTTGGATCATGTGATACTAGAAGGCCAAGCTTTTAAACGAATTGGCTAAGGATGTTTTCAAAGCATAATTTGGATTATGAGGCTTGATGTCTTGTTAGTAGTGTGCTAATGTACCTCAGAAATCATATTCAATGTGTATTTTCCCCCATTAAAGCAGTAGCTATGGTATATGTGTAATTTCCCCCCTTTAAAGCTTGATACAGAGTATATTGAAGACTTTAGTCTTCTACCCCAATTGGATAGGTCAATGATGGAGTAGAATTGTCTCTTTGCTTGTAACTGGACATTGTTGTGATCTTTTGTGAACAGGGTTATTTGTGCCTGTTCTCGTCACTATTTTCTCTGTATCATCTGATAAAGTATGTTGTATTTTTTCTCTGTTCTAACAGAGAATCACTGAACAAGCTGGAGTTGTTCTCTCGCTTGATCCAAAACCAATACAGGTACTATAAAGCTATAACTGACAGCAACTCTTTTTCACTGGTAATCATTTTAATGTTTTTGCATTATGTGTCAACAGGGTGACTGGAATGGTGCAGGATGCCACTCCAATTACAGGTTTTTGGCTGTGTCTCTATCATGAATCATGATATTAAGCCTTAGTAACTTGCTAGATTACTAAATTTCTGAACTCTCATTGGTTTTTCAGTACCAAGAGTATGAGGGAAGATGGAGGCTATGAGGTGATAAAGAAGGCAATTTTGAACCTATCACTTCGTCACAAGGATCACATTAGTGCATATGGAGAAGGAAACGAGAGGAGGTTGACAGGAAAGCATGAGACAGCCGACATTAACACATTTTCTTGGGTATGACTTGAAATTGTTGAATATATTTTGGTGGAAGAAACACGAAGTTGATATTCTTTGTAGCAGTCTCATGAAATCTACCTTGCAGGGAGTGGCTAATCGGGGTTGCTCAATTCGTGTGGGAAGAGACACCGAGGCCAAAGGCAAAGGTAAAGTTGCCCACAATACTTCTGCAGCAACTTGTAGTTGATCTTGCTCAACATTGGACCAATAGAAACAATTAGGCTCCTTAATCTGTCTGCAATTATGGGATATACTGTTGTGCACCGTCTAACTCTTTTTATTAGCCTAAGCGTTCTGAATGATTGTAATTCCACAGCTTTCTTGAGTTCAGTCTGTTTGCAAGGGAATCTCTATACCCTGAACTTGCGCTATAGCTAAATCTGAATGACCTCTTCAACTGAAGAATTGACTTTTCGCTCCACATTTATTTTTCAAACAATTAGAATCTTAAGTGACTTCATTTCTTTTTTGGCCAACTGAAATATGACTTCATTTCAAAGAAGTTCTCTTGTAAGTGAGCAGGCTATAAAGATCTCTGGGTTACTCCTGTATTGAGGTGCACATAGTTCCCACCTTTTTGTTTTGCAAACATCTTACTTCTTCCAGTTCAAAATATAAGCATTTTCTCCCTGTTAATCTTGGTACAAAATATAAGCAACTTAGCATTTGTAAAAATAATTTTTCTCATTTTACCTTTTGAATTTATTAACTTAGATTTTTGCGTCTGAATTTATGATTTTTTTTTTCACTCACCACAAATTGGAACTAAGGGTAAAAAGGAAGAAACAATTTATATATTTTCATGGGAATTAGGATTTTAATAGTGTGCGGATTATTGTAAGAGCTGTTTATATTTTGGATCGGAAAGAGTATCATTTATGCATTGCAAAATCACATGCCTTGAAACTGTCATACTGAGGCTTTTAACTGCTTGAATCTACCAGTGGTTTCTAGATTTTTATTTGTTTGCGTTGCCCATCCTCTTGATTGTAGGTTACTTGGAGGATAGGCGTCCAGCTTCAAACATGGACCCATATGTGGTGACATCGTTACTGGCAGAAACTACAATATTGTGGGAACCAACACTAGAGGCTGAAGCTCTTGCAGCTCAGAAGTTAGCATTGAAGGTCTAAGCAAGTCCATTGGTTGGTGATTATTTTGAGTGGACTCAAATTAGCTGGGATTGGTTTGTTCGAATGCTGGAAAGCTCTTCATTTTCGGTTTAAATTTATGTAGGAGGCGATTTTGTCTGGACAATAATGAGAATGAAGTTTGTCATCTTTTGTTATGGGTTGTCAGATGAAGTCCCTGGTGGAGTGGAATTCTGATTGATTATATATTTAAATAATATTTGTTTCCTGTAATGTTTGCATTGCTGGATTGTCAGATAAATGCATTATATAGTTGCATAAACATTTGTACTTTTTTTAATGCAAAAGGTCTAGATGAATTGAATCTCATTCCAAAATGTAGTTACAAGTTATTATTCACCAATGACTAATGAGTTCTTTACATTGACATCATGATTCGAATCCAAACATAACCAACTTTTTAGAATTAACAATTTTTAGGGTCAAGTGCTTTTAGTTTCATTGAGTAGCATTGATAGATGCACATCATCCCAGCACAAATCATATTTCTGTTACCGATGTAAAAGAAATTTATTTGCGTGCGGTGTGTATATGGTTAAATAAGTTCAAGTGAGTAGTATAAGCACAGCTTACTCCTTACCATAAGGTCTAAATATTAAATTTCAACATTAATTTTTGCTATTGTAAAATAATCTCCTTGTAATTGTTTTCGTAGCTTTTATGATTCTTGACATGAAACATACCAAAACAACCATGATAGTAACGTCGAATGAAACTGATGTTTAATTAAAACAAGGAGAGAAGACATGAAAAGAGAAGTCATAGCAACAAGAAACATAGAAAGAAAATGTTATTAATTTTTCCTAATATCTGGATGTACATAAGAAAATGTCCAAAAAAAATAATAAAAATAACTACTTCTACATTGAAAACAAAGATTCACAGTATGCAGTTGAAGATACCCAACAAGAGCATGAATGATAGGAACATGAATAACTTTCTTCTGGGTTGAAATAACGGCGATGTTCTAACAATCTTCCATTTTTAGCCCATCTTGATAATCCTCCGTGACTACTTGCTGCAATAAGTTCACCATCTTTGGTGAAGCATAATGGCTTAATGATGTATTTAAGATCATCCCATATCGATTCTCGATACACTGAAATAAACTTCGTCCATGATGACACTACCCCGTACTCTTTCATCACCCATATCTTGATTTTATTAGACTTGACTTGAGTTAAGCTGAGGCGTCCATCAAGTACTCGCAAATCACAGTGATCCCTTTTCGAGTTAATAGAATTTGGGATATCTATGCATCTTCGTAGAGTCCTTGTTCTGATATCAAATGTAACAATACCTGCTCCAACAATTTGGGCTCCTCGTCGCGGCCAAATCAACCAATGTATAGCGCCATTCGAGACAGAACCGACGATCGGGACGGCCGGTGCTTCGATGACAAGTAAGGGAATGTGAGTAAGTCTTAACCATGAATTGGTTCTCACAGAGAAGACATCAAAGACTATAGGAAAATAGCCATGTGGAAATTGATGAACCGCTGTTATACATGATACAAGCACAACAAGGTAGTCATCAGTGGACTCATCGTAACAAAAGCCATATGCAGCAATCATGTTGAATCGCAGATGTTGCAGAGAGATTTCTTTGCAGGACTGTTTTGGTGTTGTTGGATTCAACAGAAAAATCTTGTCTTCGTCTTTAGGAGCTAGAAGAACAAATCCACGGCAAGAACATGTTATCATGGTGGCACCATGTGGTTTGAGGAAGGGACGAGGATCAAGATCTTGAACAGCAGAATCATCATGAAGGGGTAAGTTGATATCTATGGATTGCAGCGAACCGATTGTGAGAAGGACTCGATTATGGGTGTTTTGTTGGGAAGAAAGTTGAAAGTGGAGATTTGCGAAGGAGGGATCGGAGATGAGAGAGAGCCATGACTTGGACACAGACTTGAAACGTAACAGAGATTTCACGGGCAGGTAAAGAAGGATCTCCTTTATGATTTCTTCAGGGAGATGAGGGGTCTTCATGGCCGGCGAGAGAGAGTCTGCAGATCGATCGCACATGAACTTGTTGAGTGTAAGATATACAAAGCTGAAATAGGAGATTTACATCTGAAGAGATTACCAAATCTAAGGATGATTAGTAGAGAAGCATATATCAAATCACATCATATATATTTATTTTGACCGTTTGTTTTATCTTATTTTGTAAACAAAATTATTTTATAAGTTTTTATAATATTTATTTAAATTTTTAAAGATAATTAAAAAATATATTAAAAAGGTGAGACATATGAAAATATCATAAAATTTTAAAATGATTAAATAAAAATTATTTTTATAAATTAAAAACAAAAAAAGATATCATAAATTTTAAAAATAGCTAATTAATAATTATATATCTTTTATTATTGTAAATAAATATAAAATAGTGTTTATTTTTCAAAAATTTTTACAAAATAAATTTTTATGAAATCTTTAAACTATCTAAAAATTATTTATTTTTTAAATTTTAAACAAACAAACCCATTATTGTTCTTTAAAAGAGAATACTTGTATTATTTCTCATTAGATTCAAATAAATTAATAATGTTTTCAGATTAATAAGAATAGGATTTAAAGCCCATTTCTCTTACATATTTTTTTATGAAAAAATCACTTTTTTTAAATTTTTTTATTTTAAGTTTTTACATATTTTCGGCTAAAGTATTTTTTTGCTGCCATAATTTTCGGTTCAGAGCCTAATCTTTTGTTTATAATTTGCAACCTCAGTATCTTGTCCCTCCAAATCATTTTAAAAGGAATCGAATCAATAGAAAATCCAAAATAAAAGAAATAATAATAAACGCTGAAATCAAATTTTTGGATTTTAAAATAAAAATAATAAAATTATTCTCCAACGCTGTCATTCGCCTGCTCCTTGATTGGTACTCGCATTTAAATACAATGATAATCCATCCGGCTTGAAAAAGCTTTGAGATATCTATTATAGGACGTCTTTAGAATTATTTTTTAATTTTTAATATAAAACATTTGATGGGGGTGTTAATTACATTTTTAGTAACAATACTTATATCTAAACTTATTAATTTTAAGAAAAAATATAATGCAAAATTGAAATTGTTTTATTTAAATAGGAGTAAAATTAAAAATTTAGTTTATTTTTAGATACAGTTAACAATTTGATCACTTCTTCTTAATTTTAATGAGGTAGTTAGAAATACTTTATAATAGGAATTAGAATACTTGATCTTGATTTGCCATTAATCTTGACATAATACTATTCCATATGGTTGTTTTGATATATTTCATATCAATTGATAATGTTTCACTTGTTTGTTACTATACTTTTCAACTTTTGGTCTTGGAAATTTAGAATCAAACAGCATATGGTTCCTAATACTGGATATTTGTTTAATAGATCCATGTATATTTATACTTTCTTGTATCATTGTCAAACTCTCAAGTTAATTTTTTAAATTTTATTTTTATTATTATTATTATTATTATTATATTTTAACTTATAAAATTATGTTAATTTGCTCATGAACTCAAATTAATTGTAATATTGTCTAAATTACTCAACACACTTAATGATAATACTATGCATTACCATGATAAATAGGGATTAACTATCCTAACAACCTTGCTATAATAGAGATGAATTAACTATAGTTAAAAAGGACTAAAAAAGGGGAAAAAAACCAACACTAAGGATCTACTATGGCTAATAAAATTAAAGTTATAAATATAATTCAAATAAAATGTATATAAATGGACCTACCATGGTGGAATAGATTCTACCACATTAGAAAGGATTGAAACCAATTATTATATACTAGTATACTAGAAAAAGTTGAAATCCATAATTAATAAGATATAATATAACAAATCATTGGGATTCTAAGTTGAATAAGTAATTCAAATCTTTTCAAAACTCAAACATGTATAAGTCAGAGTTCAAAAGCATATTAAAGCAAGCGATATCAGTCAAATTGAAAATACTAGAGGGAAAGGATAAAAAATAACATTTTATCATAATTTTGGAGCATTTTTCATCGCCAAGAGTAACACCTTAATTTTGCTAACCAAAAAACTTAATTATTAATTTTAACTTGGACTAACTAAAGCCCGCTAACACATGAGTCACATTCCATTACAAATATTTAAATATTTATTTTAATAAAAGTCTTGATACTAAAATTCTATATTAAAATATTTGCTAGAAATAAAATAGTTATGCAATTTCTATAGCCTTATGCCTCAACTTCTAGTACTTAACAATCAACAATAAATAATAAGAAATTTTAAAAATCAACCTAAATGATAAATGAGTCTTATAATAGAAAATGATTATTTTATAGACTGAAATGGGACTTAAAAATTACTCAAACTAAGCCTTAAGCTGTCGGATGCTTTCCTTTTGCTATACTAAGCTTACATAAAATGTTAAAAAGAGAGATGAGGACTAACGGCTTAGCAACCAAGAGTTCTACCATATATATACAAACTAAAAACTACACATAATTAGTACTATGTACATACGTGTAATTTTATCATCATTATCAAATTATGAGCATAACAATTTACCTGCCATCATTCATAAAAAGTTATATCCAACATATGATCATATACAAGATAGGTAACCCTCTTATTGCTCCATCCAACTTTACACTGATGACTAGAACTATAAGTTTATCCACACTTTGGCCCACACATGAACTAACCAAAGTATCTCTAAAGCTCAAAATATATCCAACTAAAGGTATAGGGCCTAAGCCCCAAACTATAGCTCCCCTTTTTAAAGAATCCAATAATGAGGTGTCTCTATCTCATATTCACCTTTTACAAACCTAGCCCAATAAGTATTGAGGAACAAGGTCCTACATCACTATCATTATCATCTCCTCAACGCATTATCAATGCATGTCACGTATATATGCAACAATCACAATATATACAAGTAGGCTTTAAAATAAATATAGTACATCACTAACTCATGTCAATAAGTCACAATCTTGCTTAGTAGGATTAAAGTGATTCATTAAATTCTATAATTACATTTTTTATGATTTCTCAACAATTTATCATATTTTTACATATAGTCTACGCATAATTATCATACTCAATTAGAAAGAATTGTACATGAGCAACTTGTATTAATTACCACACCTAATATAATTTGAACACACATGAAAAAACTCAGGTTACTTGTTCTCCTTTAACTTACGAATAATCGTACATCAAATTCAAGTAGTAAAAACTCTCAATGAGAGTCTACAAAAGTACACACATATGCAAACATGTTAATATGTGATTCAAAGTTGATAAAAATTACCCTAAGGCTATCCTAAGTTACTTTAGGACCTTAAAGCTGCTAAGATAACCCAAAATTCTCTTTTAAGTCTATATACCTTTATAATTTAATTAGTTAATTAGAGTAGTCCAATTTCATGCTAAATTTTAATTTATAGAAATTTCCAAATTCCTAAATCTTAATTCCTAATCTAAACTCACATTAAATATAATTTACATAATATATTTGGAGGGTGTGTGGGTGCACACGCACAATTAGAGATATGTCTGAATATATATTTGAAGGGTATAGACACAAGAGGGGAAGGTAAATGTCAGCGAAAAGATACTGCGCGTTGCCGGTATGTGATTTTATATATATATATATAACACAAGAATTGATTAATGAAGAGGTGATTGCAATATTACACTCGAATGATGCTTGCTTCTGATCAGGATGGTCATAAAGTATGAATGAGGGAAGGAAGAGAAGGATGAAAAATTGAGAAACTACTTGCTAGAGATTTGAAGCAGTGTACAGCAAGTCTAGGAAGAATGAGGAAAATTGAATGAGGGTAGATGTATAGTTTTCATGAGGTTATAAAATTTAAATTTATAATTTATAAAATTAAACCAATTTCTTCCTTATTATTGTTATCATTATTTCTATACCTATATCTCTTAAGATAATTCTAAGATGATCTTAAAAGTTTAACAAGATTATATTATTATGATTATTTTCCTTCATTTTTGCCTCTTATGATTTTTGACACTGATTCATGACTAAATGCTATAGAAAATGTGCCATGCGCCACAGTGTAAGCTGCTTGCACTGTAACATGTGGCACAAAGAGGTTGTTCTTCCTCTTTGTTCAGTCCATTGTGCCATGGTGAATCATGCACATGTTGTGACACGTGGCACATAACAACACACCATCCTTTTCTCTCTCTTTTTGGCCTACATGGCCCACACTCAACCTCTGAACCATATTCTGAGCTCATTATCAAGGCCAAAAAGTTTCTTAATCCTCTATAACAACTCCTTTCACTATTCTTACTTAATTAAATTTGATTAATCCCTTAATAACTATGGATTAAAATTTGAGATGTTACAACATATGAGTGTTTTAACTACTTGCACTATAATTACAAATGATCTAAATGTATTTTGTGCCTTAAGTTGTTCATAACTACATTGTAAGGTTTAAATAGAGCTCAAATACTAGTTCAAGTGAAAAACTTGTTATACAAATGATTATTTTGTTTTGAGTAGAATTATGAATATTTGACTCCCCTTTATGCTTTTGAAATCAAGGGGTTGAGTGTTAAAATTTTAATATGCATGTTTTGAATTGACTGTGGTATGTTGCACGAGTCAATAATGGTCTATTGAATATGGTCTAAGTGTTGGTGTAAGCTCTTAGCACTTGTGTTATGGTTTGGACACCTAACTTATGTGTTTATATGAAAAAGAAGTGAGTTTTGTAATGGGTGTTTTGATAGAAAAATATTGTGGTTGTGAAATTAGTGCTATTAGCTAAGGTTAGAAGAAAAATTTCTGTAGACACCTAAATTACCTCAATTAGATATTAGACGAAGAATTGAGATACATCAAAAATTCATCTAGGTGCTGTCATTTATAGCAAAATGCTGTCAAATTTTATGCAATGTGTCGTAGTGTATTTGCAGTATGCTGTGGTGCATGTACTGTTTTTGTCAAAAATGATGTTTTCTCACATCACAAGGTATTTAGATCCCTATGCTTTCGCATAGCGATTTTTCTCTTATTTAATAAATATGTGGATTTAAAAGTTTTATATTGAGAAAATTTAGAATTTTTGTTTGTGTAATTTTACAAATTTAGTGATTTAATTGGATTAGTTTCATGATTATCTTGGCCTTAGAATTAACTATGATATAGAAATATGAGTATTACAAACTTGCTAACAGATTTAACAACTTTTGACTTATAAATTCACATTTTAAGTGTGTGTTTGGATTAAAAAATTTACAACTAAAGGTTAGAGTAATAGATTAACAAATTGAAGTTAGAAAAAAAAATTTATAACTTTAACGTGATTTATCTTTAGATACTTTTTTTTAGGAGTCAATTAAATAAATTAAAATTTATTTAGATAATTTGATTCAAAATCCAGTTGAATTATATAAATATGGACATGAATATATATATATATATATATATATGTTTTGTGACTAATTTGATCTTTTTTAGGAAAAAAATATTAAACTTAAAAAACAATTTTTAAAAAATAAGTTACAAATATAAAATGCATTGATAAATCAAAAATCTTAATTTCTAAAGAGGTATAATTAAATGATAAAATTCAAAATATTTAAGTATTGAAAAGTTAAATTAAATTTATAAATGAGAAAATATCCCATTCATGCAAGCTACAATTTTATTTTAAAAAGATAGAATTAACAAATCTAAAATAAAAATTAGTTTAGATGTTTAATAATAAAAAAGAATATAAATTTTATGATATATATTTTTATGATTAATTTAATATTTTTAAGAAAGAAATATTAAACTTTAAATTATTACAATTAAATGTTAAAAAGATAGAATTTAAAAATCTAAAACAACAATTAAAAAGCTAAGGTTGTGACTTTTGATGCAGAAACACTAGCCTTGGTTATAGAATGTCTCGTCCAAGTAATCAATTTCGATTCAAGTTCTTTAGGTTTTCCTTCTTTTTTTTTCTATTTTTAATTTTTTTGCTCAATCCTTCGCCGACAACAAGCTCCACAAATGATAGAACAAGAAGAAACTCAACAGATGGACGAGACCTAACATTGATGGAGCAATCATGACAATAACGTCGACGGAACCCACGACCTTCATGGATGATGATGGTAACAACCAGAGAAACAGTACGCAATGATGACCAGAAGATACTGAGGCAAGTCATGCAACAGATCTCTATTTCTTGAAGATAGAGATGAAGAGTTATCACGTGATTGGGGGGGTAAGGACAAAAGAGAGAAATCTAGCATTAAATCCTTCCCTAACGCCCATTACCCGCCAATGCTCGATGGAAAAGCCAGAGTAATCAACTTTGTCAAGAATGATCATTTGGACCATAACGTTAATTGACATTTTTTTTTCATCCAAACATAATTTGTTGGTCTTTTAACATCCCAACCGAAGTTTTAGACTATCCCAACTTAGGTTAGAATGTTATGCAAATACATACTAAATGACCTAACTACCCAACTACAATCTTAATATCACATTCAATGAGTTTATTAGCTTTCATTAGCTCCATTTAGCTTCTATTAGCTAATAACAACTAATGTATCATCCAACAGCCTAAATTCTTCCTTCAAAAAGCTAGAGTTCATCCAAAACACTGGACCCAATCTCACAACTTTATAAAATCTTTAAAACTAGTTGTAGAAAGGTTAAACAATTCTCATTAGTCCCATTAAGACATATGAGTTCAAACTCATAGCCTTAAGATTTGAAATCAATATGTCCCATCCATAAAATTTACTTCTACAATGTGTAGAAAGAAGGAGTAGAGAAGACATATACCTCAGTAGAACCAAGCTTAAATTGCTTCCAAGACTCCAAATGATCAAGCCCTAGTAGACCTAGTTTCTTCTTCCCATTGCTCTCTCTCTCTTTTTCTCTTATTTCTTCCTTTCTAGTTTGAGCTCGAGCAACAATCTCATTGTTTAAAATTTTCTACCATACACTGTGGCGAATGGCATAGAATGGGCCTTCATAATTTTTTCTTCAATGTGGGCCTAGATGGCTCAATTCACCACTAAACTCAATCCAAAGACTATACCTAACACTAATAAACGCGTTAGCCATCACTAATCATTATTAAATTAATTAATACTCAATCTTACCTAATTATTTTTAATTAATTAATTTAATCTGAGAGTTAAAACCCAGGTTGTTACAATAGATGCAAACTCAACTAAATTGATTACAAGTATGCTTTTTGAGTTTATCATTTTTATATTTCTGTCTTACAAAATTGTACCAATATTCTCATAAACTTGGACTATATGTAAATTTAGTTAAACTCACAAAACTCATCATTTTTTTTTACTGAGTTAAGTGAGTTAAGTATATACTATATAAGACTCGGTTCATAAAAATGGTAGGATTTAGTTAAAAAATAAAACTAAAAAAAGCTATTATTAATAAAAAAGAAAAATATCGTTCTCCAATAGTGATCTCCTTGAAAAGGGAAATAGAGAAAAGTAGAGGAGTCATCACCAAAATTTTAGAGGATAATTTTGAAAAACTTTTTTAAAAAAATGATCTGTAATAACCAGAATAGCATTTGAAAATTAATTGTATATGGTGTAATAACTATCAAATTAAACCACATTGACATGGTAATTAGAGCTAATGTCCCAATTTACACACTACCATGGTAAAAAAAAAAAAAAGCTTCACCATAGTTATAAGAAACAAGAAACAATGAAAACTTTTTCAAATGGGATCTCAATTAAAATCAACTCCCAAAAAACCATTGAACTCAAAATAACAAATCAAAGCAATCAAACAAATGGAAGTAATGGATAATCTTAAAATAGGATTATCTAACATAGCAAGGACATAACAATCAATTTACATGACTTAAGAATTTTACCACAATTGAACTCCCAAACCAACAAAGCAAGCATATTCACCTTGGGAATCAATACAACATTGCAACCCACATTTCAATCATGAACATCAACACCATCAAGTTCACATTTAAAAATTAATCACAATTATTTCAGCCATATCACAAGCCTCATAAGCATGGATTAACAAAATAGGCCAAGCACATGTCACTGGTATAGAGGATAAATAAATCAATCCATACATTGTTGTCCAAATCACGTTAACTATTGCCATGGTAAAAAGCTTAATGAGAGTACAATGCCATACTAATTTCTCTCACCAAATATGGCAGTCACTCTCATCACTCAATGTTTAGGGGATCGTGATTGTTCTCTGTATCCAAATTATTTAATTCCTTTTTCATAAACTTGGCAATAATATAAAGTCTCCACTACTAAAAAAACTCAAATGTTAACACAAATCACAAGGACTTTTAAATGGAAAGAATAAGAATATTCAAAAGTTAAAGTGAATACTCAAGATAACTCATCACCTTTCCATTTTTCCCCCATGCTCAACCTCTCATCTGGTTGACTAAGAAAACATCATTCTACTTTCTACACATTTTTTATTTCTATAATTTAGTTTTTTAATGCAATAATATTGGGTTTTACTAAATTTCTCATGAATTGTGAAAGAAAATGGCTATTTTTTTTTGGGACTTCAACAGTAAAGAAGAAAAAATGGATAGAATAATATATGCATAGTTAGATTGTATAGAGTTAAATCTGAGCCTATGGTTGGGTTCAATTTTAGTTTGGTTTAATGAAGTAAATATTTTGGTTTGATTCGGTCTAAACTTTTTGTATAATTTGATCGGCTAGTTTTGAAGAAATTGGAAGTAAACCAAGTGAACTGATGCTCCCCCCAAGAGGAAGAATCCTGATGATAAATATTAGACACAAAGAAAGATCTCCGAGACTATATAAACAATAAAAGATATTAATTTTCACTCTATTGCCTCCGTTCATATATAAGCTTGCATTTTTTTTTTGTAATCCTTAATTAGTATCATAAATTCCAAAAATGCCATAATATCTAAATGTCTAAAAATAATAGGCTTCAAATGTTAATACTTATGATTGTCAATATTAATCCCAAAACAAGAAGAATCCAAATTAATTGTCAAAAGTACTCAATCAATTTCGGCCCCAAAAAAATTAAGCAAACAAGCACTACATTGCTATGACGTTGGTTAAACTTGTAAATTTAAATAAACTCATGACGTGGATGTAAACTCAAATTATGAACTTATAAGAGTTTATCTCTATTAATATTAAAAGAATATGATTAAATAATTATAATATAAAATATGACCATAATTTATTAATAGATCATTATATTCTACATAGAAAATTCAAAAAAAGGAAACTTCTTTTTTGTATTTCTAGTTTTTTTTATTAATATTAGTTTGCATCTTATTTGAGTTTTATGAGCAATTTGACAAGACATTGTAAACTAGAAATGTAAAACTAGATAAGTTTATGAATGAGTTGATATGCTCTTATATGTCAGAAATATAAATGATAAATTTGAAAAGTCAGCTTATGATGAGTTTGATAATAATGATCACTACTATTGAAAAAGAAGAAGAAGGAGCCAATCATCACTACCACATATACATAATATAAAAGAACTTCCAAGAGTTCTAAGAAAGTGGGAGTAAAGTTTCAGTATATACAATTGCAGCAGCCAACAACCAAAAGTTCTGGTAATCATCGTAGTCACGAACTTCTAGCAGTTCCCCTCCTTCACTCCATTTTAATAATTCCAAATTACGCTGTAATGTAACAAGTTGGCCATTTTTGGTCAAGCATATCGGTTTACAATAAGAAAAACACATTCCACGAAGAGAAGATACAGACATCAGTTTAGTCCAAGATGATTTCACTCCATACTCTTTCATCATCCACACCTTAATTTCATGGTCGGTGATATCAATCAGAGCGAGAGATCCTCCAAACACTCGCAGATAACATAACCCGCCTAAGTCAACATCATCAGGCTCTAATACCAATTGTTGCAATAAACTCCTTGTTCTTATATCAAAGGCAAGGATTTTTTTTACGCGACATGGCGGATACCAAACTAACCAATGAATGGCACCGTTTACAACAGAACCAACCCCTGGAGAAGGGGTTACATGCAATACTTGATGATCGAGAGCGAGCTTTTCCCACGAATTGGTTCTGACAGAGAAGACATAAAACCCTAATACTGAAGGAGACAACAACGACAACGACGATGCGAGCACTATTAAGTAGTCATGAGTGGATTCATCGTAACAGAAGCCATAAAGCTCAGAGAGAACCCATGGAAGAGGAAGTGGGATGTGTTTGTGCTCACCAGTGGAAGGATTCCAGAGAAGAAGATCGTCTTCTTCCTTGTTCAGAAGAAGCAAAAAGCCTCGACAGGAAGTTAAAATAACGTCATAGTTGATGGGGGAATCGAGCTTGATAGTTGCAGAATCGTCATGAAGAGATGTGTTGAGATCTATGGATCGAATTTGCTGATGAATTCTGTAAGGGAATCGAAGGGTGTGTTGGGAAGATCGTTGAAAGTGAAGATTTGCGAAGGAGGGATCGGAGATGAGAGAGAGCCATGACTTGGACACAGACTTGAAACGCAGCAGAGATTTCACGGGCAGGTGAAGAAGGATCTCTATTTTCAGATCATCGGGAAGTTTCTCCATTGCTGTTTGCTTCTGCATGGTCAGATCAGTACCAGAAAGAGAAAGGCTTAGTTGGATCGACGACGTCGTTGTGGAAGATATATAAAATCCAAAGTTTGTTTCTCACTGTGTTTATTTATTATGTTCATGGTGGGTAATTATTGGATTTTTCATTTTTCTATAATATATTATTAGGAAAAGAAGATATCTATCCATATATCTAAAACAACGATTATATATTTCTTTTCTTTTTTTGATAAAGAATATTTTATCTATCTCTATTTATCTAGTAAGTCTAATAGATTTTGGAGTCAAGTCATGAAAAGGAACAAAATCCGAAAAAAAAAATGAGGAAAATTTATTTTAAATAGTAATAATTATTGTAAATTTACTTTTAGTATAAATATTTATTAATTTTAATAAAAAATTTAAAAATAAAAATATTTTTTTAGAAATATCATTATAATATCAAATTAAAAACAACTTAATTTAGAGCACAAAAGTATTGATTGGAAGTGATGGAAGACGTACTTACATAGTAATATTTCAATTTATAAAATATTTTTAGATAAAATCATATATATTAATAAAGCTTATTAAATATATTTTATAACTTTTTTTCAAAAAATAAGGTTACCAAATGTAATATTAAAAAAAGAATTATTAATAAAACTTTATTTTTATCAAAGTGTTATATTTTACAGTGACAAAACTCTCCAAAAGTATTTTATAAATTTAGAAAAAGGGAGTATCTATTCAAACTCTATTTCATATTTTTTCAGTATTTGTATCCATTTAATATCTTGTTAATTTGCTTGAACTCTTAGGCTGACTCATGTGATAGCCAAAATTTATCTGGTGAGTAACCAAAATTGAGTTATTCAATGAGTGTGTCAAGTGACATGATAATAATTATTCCATTTAACCAGATAATTGTTAAAGAGTTTATGACATGATGCTCCATGAACTTTATAGTGCGAGTTTACAAAATTTGATAATGATCTTGGTCAAAGCCTCCAAGAAACCCGCGGGACTAGTTAGAATGACTTTATCTCGCGGCCAAAAACAAGTGACATTGTCTCAAAAATTGTAAATTTACCTTCCGATCTTAATTCTGGAAGCAACCAAATCTTCAATTTTTGGTTATCAAATTCTCTTTTTTTATAAGGACATAGGTATATAGATAGATAGATATAAATATAAGAGAGAGTTTATATCGTTTGGTTACAAGGCGCTAAAAAAGACACATAAACTTTATGCATGCACAAATAACGATAGCGTTGGAGATAATACTCCAAGTTTCCCGAGCAAGATACCTTCGAGAGATGAAATAAATAATTTTTTTAAAAAAAAAAGTCTAACATGATGAATTTGGTCAACACGCCAGAGTTATTTTGAAAGAATGACAGTTAAGTGTTAAAATATTAAATTAATACCAATAAGTCTCCGATACATTTTTTTAAAAAAATAAGTTAAAAAATTAATTTAAATTATTATAAATTTAAAAATTTCAATTGCAAATAAGTTTTTAAATATAAAATATAACTTTTAAATTGCAACAAAAAAAAATTTTTTTGTAGCTATTTAAATTAATATTTATAATTTATTTTATAAAAATTTTTGTTGAGAATCTAATTGTCATTAATTTATTTTTTTAGGACCAAACTATCATTCTTTCAATTATTTTTTGTCATTGTCAGATCTCTCTACAAAAGTTTTCATAGTCAGATCAATGACATGAAATATATCGAAACAACCAAATATAAATATAATAGAATATAATTGTATTTAGGGCAAACTAAGGAGAAAACAAAAACGACTAGATCAAATCAATCTACAATCTCAAGGAAAGTAAAGTTTCAGTATATAGAATCATAGGTCTCCAAAAATGAGGGCGTGGATGAACAAAATCTCATGATGTTCTAAGAGCTCTCCTTTGTCACTCCATTTAGATAATCTTACATGACTATCTACTGCAACAAGTTCACCGTCTTTTGTAAAGCACAATGGCAAAATATCGTGACTGATCATCCTGACGATTGTGTATGAACCTTTAGGTTTCTAAATTTTGAATGTTCGAAGATTGCAATCGTAGAATTAAGAAGTTGCAAACAATATTACACACATAGATATAATAGAACCAGAATTCGAGTATTTCTATTTGAGCTGTACAAAATGAAATTCTCACACACGGTCAGCAAGATTAAATGAGACTGTTAAATAAACAGTACATGTCAGAATGTAATTTGGGTTGCAAATTACTGTAATGAAGATATTCAGACCTATCAGCCACCAAACGTCTAGTAGCAGGACCACTAGAATGTTCCTATGATTGTTTCTCATTCTGAATATTTGAAGAGCAAATTCAAAAGTACAAAAAAGTCAAGTCTTTTAAAGAAAACATAATATGATAGGGCATCTTAATGGATACCAACGTGAAAAGGTTACCTTCAAGGATGATAAGGATTTTAATTTCATAAAGGGTATTCACGAACATTACCATAGAAAGATAATTCTTTTTACAGTCTAACCAAGATTCACATGGGAAGTAAGAAATATTTAATTTTCCATGACAATTTTTCAATTAGTTTCCCAAAAATGTTGTTTTAACTTCTTAACAATACTCAGGACAAAAGATCAATATTATTCGATATTGATCTGTAATTCCGAAACTGCTCTGTAATTCCTAATATGAAATACACCAACAAAACCATAATAATAACCATTACTTCTGTTCAAAAATGTAAGATAATTTTTTGAGAAGTTGAATGTTAAAAAAGTATAAGATATTTTTAATTTTTCAATGTGTAATCATTGACTTTTTTAAAAAAATATCCTTATTGATAATAATTTTATATTTATTGTAGAATATTTAATAAGAATAAATATAAAAAGATAAGATTAATTTGAAAGTAAGTAATTACTTTATTAGGAGTAAAATTTAATTAAAAATATTTTATATTTTTTAATGGAGAAAGTATGAGGTAAAAAGCACAGGGTTACGATTAAGCACCTGATTCTTCTAATTGATCACCATCACTCTTGGGCCTCCTCCTAATGACAACACTACACTGACGGCACGGAAAGCAGAATTTCAGTGTATACACTTGCACACGCAAACGACATCGGCCTAGGAAAAAAATTCAGATGATCTACTACTTGGAGTTCTTCTTTGGCACTCAATTTTAGTGATCCTATAGTAATATTTCTTACAATAAGTTGATTGTCTTCGGTGAAGCAAAATGGTGAAAAGAAATCGACATGGCACGGATTAGTAGATACGGTGAAAAAATGAGTCCATGATGACTTCACTCCATATTCTTTCATCACCCACATCTTAATTACATCACTGTTCTCAGTTAGTGTTAGGCGTCCTCCAACAACTCCCAAGAAACCTGAACCATCTTCATAATCATCAGGAACAGGTATCTCCAGCAAATTCTTCGCTGCTATGTCAAAAGCAATAATTTAAAGCACTCAGGTGGCGGTTGTCGTACATACCTAGCAAACCAATGAATGGCACCGTGTAAGATTGAGCCACCGATCGGCATATCCCATTGATAGATATATTGGCATTCCTCAGTAAGTATTTCCCACGATTTGGTTTTGAGAGAGAAGAGAGCGAGGAAGTGTGATACAAGAACAAGAATGTAGTCATCAGTGGACTCATCATAAGCAAAGCCATACATATATATAAATATGCCCCGATTCAAGACACCACTGGAAGGATTCCACAGAAAACGTTTTCGTTGTTAATCAACAACTAGTAACAGAAAACCTCGGCAAGAACCCATAATCTCGACATCAGCAGGTGTCCTGCGTCGGGGAAAATTGAGATGCACAACAGCAGAATCGTCATGAAAGGGACCGTTGAAATCTATGGATTGAAATTGCGATTTAGCAGACAGAAGGATTCGATGGGTGTGTTGGGAATATCGTTGAAAATGCAGTTCCGCGAAAAGGGGACTGGAGATGAGAGAGTGCCATGACTTAGAAACACACCTGAAACGCAGGAGAGATTTGACGGTCAAGCGAAGAAGGATTTCCCATATGACTTCTTCGGGAAGGAACTTCTTGTTTTCTCGCCGTCGCATTTTGGAAGGGTGAGCACCCGAGAAAGAGGAAGATGCTTTTCTAGTACGGGAATGAAGTGAAGCTGACCGGAAAAAAGCGCTCGATCGTTTCAATCGATTCCTCCTTAAGGAAATTTGGAGAAGAAAAGATTTAGGGCTTAGAAACATAACCATGATGCGGCTAGCTCTAGGGTTTGGGAATGGAATGAAGCTAGCGGGAAGAAAAAGTGCTCGCTCGCTTAGGAAAATGGTTCTCTGTTGTTGCGCCGCGGGAAAGACGAGTGACATCTAGAAATGAACTTTTTTTTTTTTTAATACAAGATCATCACAATAAAAGCCATGCGTAAGCCTTTTATGATTCGCAGAAGGATTGTAAAATAAAATAATATTAAAATACTCATTTAGAGTCTTGTGAACTAAAAAATTTATATAATAATTAATTTTTATATATATATATGATTAAAAATGATCTTTTAATTATTTATGATGAAATTTTTAATAGTTTTGATAATTGTTGAGAAATGATAGCCATGGCTATGATAGAAGTTACTTTTAATGTGAGATAAAATTTTTATAGAATTAAAATAAATATTAATTTTTGAAATCTTAACATTTTAACAAATATTTAACTCTTCCAAAATTCTTATAAGTTCAGGCTGAATTGATAATCAAAATTTTTAAAATATTTTTTAATCCAATTGCCTTGTTCTACTCTAAAAATGGGTTTCAAATCAATATCTAAGAAAAAAGTTCCGTTTTGAAAGGCTCCTCTATTAACCTGTCATTTTCAATAAGCTGTTAAAAAAAAGAAAAAGGCTTTGTGAACAGTCCCAGCTTATTAAAACGGCTAGGGTTAGCTGGTCCTTTGTCTTAGCCTTGTGTCGTTCAGTGTTTATGTATGGTGGGAACAAAGAGAGAACTTCCTCAAGAACAATTTTTTTTTTAAATATTTCAAAAGAAACAGCACAACGCATAAACCAAAGTATTCTCAAAAAGATTTTATTTTTAAAAGAAAAAATAAAAAAAACTATCATTATCATATCTTTGTATATATTATTAATGAAGTTATAAATATAATTTAATTTTTTTTAACTCTTGCTATATTATTATTAATTTTAAACAGGGACAAAGGTGTATAAAATTAATATGTAAAATTTTTTCAAATAAAAAAATTTATATATTTAATTTTAACTCTTGCTATATTATTATTAATTTTAAAAAGGGACAACGGTGTATAAAATTAATATGTAAAATTTTCTCAAATAAAAAACTTTATATATTTTGTATCGAGTAGATTTTACACCATGTGCGGCACATTTCACCCATTGAATGTCAAGGCTTTTTATTAACTGATCTAATACCTAATTCTTATTTTATTCATGCACAATTTTATTGTGACTTTTGTGATCTAAAAAAATGGGAGAGAGAGGGAGAGAGAGAGAGAGGATTTTAATGTGCTTAATTAAAAAATAGGACAAGTGAATCTGAAAATTTTTAGCAGATATAACATGTAAAATGAAAGGGTATGTAAAATTTATTAAGAATTTTTAACCCTTCTTCTCTATATTTTTTAAATTAAACTCAATAAAATTTCAATTCTTTCCCCACCATTCCCCTCTAATCAAACAAAAGTAAAATTAATAGAAGCTGAATATTGAATAAATATTTATTTGATAATTATATGATAAATGATACTCCCTCTATTAAAACATGTAAAGCATTTTTAACTGAATATTATTTTCAATAAAGTAGTTACTTGTCTTTAAACTAACTCTATCTTTTTATATTTATCCCTATTTAATAGAGTGTTTCACCCTAAAAAAATATAAAGTATTCTATTCAATAAGAACACTTTTTTTTAAAAAAAAATAATGATTATCCTTTGAAAGACTCCAAATGCCTTATTAAAAAAGGGGAGATTACCTTTTGATTAATGACTATGATATATAGTGCCAATTTGAATTTCAGTTAGGTATAATAAATTTTAAAAATAATTAATTAAATAGTAGATTTTAATCATAATGAATTATATTGTAATGTAATTTGTGTGGATACCCTTTTTTAAAATTAATTTTAACAAAATTGAATATATTTGAATGATTTAGTCACAATCAATTTTAGCTATATAAATTACTACGAAGGACATTGCTTTTTAAAATTAAGTTATTAATATATTTGTATCTAATATTATTAAATTTGTTAAATTTTATTTAAGAAATAAAATATATTATTTAAATTGCATATCTGATTAATTATACAAATTTAAAGTATATCAATATTAACAATTTAATTTACGTAAATAAATAATTCAATATATCTTAGTTCAAATAAATTTAATAAAAGGGAAAGATCTAATTCTTAAATACCAAATATCAATTTTACAATAACTAATGAAGATGATAATATAAAAATTGATCACTAATAACATTATAAATATAAGTCATATCTGATGAAGATGTTAAGTACTGTTTTAAAATTTTGACAACATAAAAAATGTAACAATGTCACAAATGATGTAAAGTCTCTCTTTCTGAATCTTTACAACAATCTTTGTCATGACTCTAAATTTTAAATTAATTTTTCTCTACTAATTAATATTTTATTTGAATTAGTTTTATAGTAAGTGCTAAATGAAGGATGATTGTTGATATGAACTTATACTAGAAATTTTTTTGAGGATCTTTAAATTTTATTAAGGAAAAAAAATAGAGAGAAGATAAGAGAGTTTGATTTTATTTTTATTAAATTATGTGTTTTCTTTTGTAATTTTTTCTTGGGCCTTTGTTTGTAATTTTCCCCAATGCTTTTTGATAAGCCTTTTTTCCCAAAAGTAGGAGTGTTCACCAGATAAGACAGGATCGGGACACCCTCATCCCATGTCTTATCCCAAAAAAAAGATCGGGACTGAGTTTTGGTCTCGTGTCCCGTCTTGTCCCGAAAGTCGTCCGTCCCATTAGGAGTCGGGATGGGATTGATACAAGATCAAGACGTCCCCCGTCTCAATAAATGAAATAATATTGAAGAAAGATTTAAATAATAATGTTCATTAAAATTTTAATAGAAGTTACTTTCAATGTGAGACAAAGCTTTTATAGAATCAAAACAAATATTAATTTTTGAAATCTTAACATTCTAACAAATATTAACAATTGCACAAAGAATGCAAAATCTCTCTCTTTGAATCTTTGCAACAATCTTTGTCATTATTCTAAATTTTAAATTAATTTTTTTCAATTAATTAATATTTTATTTGAATTAGTTGTATAGTAAGTGCTGAGTGAAGCATGCTAGTTGATAAGAACTTAAGCAAGCAACTTTTTTTAAGGATACAAAGTTTAAATTTTATTAAAAAAAAAGAAAGAGAAGAAGAGAGAGTTTAGTTTTATTTTTATTACATTATGTGTTTTCTTTACAATTTTTTCTTGGGTCTTTGTTTGTAATTTTTTAAATACTTTTTGTTAAGCTTTTTTCCCAAAAGCTCGGGTTCTCATCTTCCTGAAAAAATTGATTTTTGGCCCAAAAATTGATTAGCCAAATTTACAAGTGTTTAGATAATTTTGACAAAAATCAATTTGTTTCTCAAATAATTGATTAAAAACACTATCCAAACACACACACACACAACCATTTTGGCAGAGAGGATGGGAGGTTGGGAGCAATAGAAAATAAAGGAGAGGTATATATTGTTACTTGTTTGAGAGGAGAGAGAAGCCTCCTCTATCTTTCCTTTGAGATAAAGGTAAATCTGAATAGTTCAAATTTAATTTAGATGGTTCAGATTTAATATTTTTATTTTTTATTTATATTTTTAAAATAAAATATATATAAAAATTGTAAAAAAATTTTAATAAATATATTTATCAATTTGATAATCCAAATTTAATATAAATAATCTAAATTTAATATAAAAAATTTAAATTAACTTTTCAAATATATTATGAATAATATAATATATTCTAAATAGAACAATAAATTTATTAAACTAATTTTAATATTAAATATAGATCATCTATACTAAATCTAGATTGTCAAATTGATAAGTGTATTTATTAAAAAAATTATAATTTTTATATATTTTTTATTTTAAGATATAAATAAAAAATAAAAATATTAAATATTAAATCTAAATTATTTAAATTTAATCTGAACGGTCCAGGTCAAGTCTCTACCTCAAAGGAGAGGTAGAGGAGAGAAGTCGTGTCCGTTAGAGAGAGGCTGATTTTTTGTGAGATGTACAGAGACAGGTGGGAGAAAGTGGTGCTAGAACATGTGAGAGGCATATATGTGTTGTCACCAACTTCAGAGTTGAAATTTAAATTCCCCGCCAAGGCTGAAATTAAAAGAGCAAAACCATGTCAAAAGTCACAGCTTGGCAGCTTAGAGCCAGCGCTGTAACTAGAGCCAATTACTGTTCACTAAGCCAAGGAACAGTATTATGAGTTAGGAGCCAAAATTTCAGTGGTTCTCAAAAAATAAACTAGTTACAGCCTTGTGCGTTGCACGAGTTATTTTATATTACTTGTCAACAAAATACACTTCACATTACGTTGATAAAAAAATATGGAAATGACACCAAGTAATGAACAAAAATTATGAACATGAAGCAATGTTACATGATTTAAAAGGTTAATAATAAAACGTACTAATTTTTTACCAAACAAATCAAAGGTTTGGAAGGTTTGGAAGTTTTGAAAGATTTCTTTGTCTCTACGCAATGAAACTTTCAATCCTACAATAAATCAGCAAAATTTTCACTTGTTAAAATTGCACTTACTCCCCTTTAAAATTGCAATGAACCTCATAAAAGAACCAATTCCCCTCACTAATTATTTTAAAATTATCAAGCATACATATTTAAAAATATTGTTTACTCTTGTAATTATTATACAAATAAATTTAAGTTACAAATGAATACTTATGAAAAGAAAAATTATTAATAATGAATATTCAAAGATTTATTTCAGAGTTCCGGTTAGTCGGTAGCTTGAAAACAAAAATAGCCCCCATATTGGATTGAAATCTATAGTTGCATGTGCCTTAAGAAGCATTTGGACTTCTAAATGAAAGACGTATTACTGGATTACTATACGATTATGAGCCTCTTTAAAATACAATATGAAAAGTAAGTTTCTGTGACTCATTTGAGGGGAAAATTATTTGGATACAAGCTTGAGTTAATATGTGGGACTAGGTTCCCTTTACAGTGAAATAGATATCTAATGGATATCATCTTTATATTGAGATTGTAATCGATCAAATGACGTGGAAATTGGGAAAAAATATTGCTGATTATAGTAAATCAAAAGTTTACTAATCTAAACAGATATATTATTGGGATAACTTAGTTGATTATTTTCAATCATATATATATAATGTAAAGAATTATTCAAAATATAGATAGATTCTTCACAAATAGCCACACACAAACATGAATCTTCGCATTTATAAAAATATATCATATATATAAATATGGGCACATTCAAACGTGTGAATCACACATGTATTTGATAAATTTGATAGACTCATTTGCATAGTCCAACATGATCCCACCCCATATTCTCTTATCATCCAAATCTCAACTTGTTTTGGAGTAGTCATGCCAATAAGACCAAGGCATCCTCCAAGTATTATCAACTCACATGTTTCATACTTGAAATCATCAGCGTAAACTCAGTCAAGTTAAATCAAATGCAGTTATTGCTTCATGCGAAGCTTTCCCTGATCCAACACACGACCAACCAATGAATACTAGCGTTTAAGGTTGAACCAGCCAATGGATCAGGCCGATCCATTGGACTGATACATGTGAAACATCCTTCAAGTTCTTCCCATGAATTGGTTCTCACAGAGAAGATATGGATCTCAGAACCAGAAACAGATCCATTGTATGACGCAAGCACTATTATGTAATCATCCATGGATGATAACCAAAGCCAAACAGAAATGCAGAACGACGCGGATGCATTGATGGGATATTTTTGCAGACCCGGGTTGAAGGATTCCATATGACAAGTTGAGAATCATAATCAGGAACTAGAAACAAGAAACCTCTGCAAGAACCCATAATCTCTAGTTGATAAGGTGGTAAGGTAGATGAAAACCGAGGCTTACAAAAGCAGCATCATTGTGAAGAGATGCATTGAGATCTAGAGATTGAAATTTGGAACAAAGAATTTCAGAAGAAGAAAAGTAAAAGATTCGGTGGGTGAGTGGGGAAGATCTTACAAAATGCAAATCTGCAAAATGGGGACTAGAGATGAGAGAGCCATGGCTTAGATACACACCTGAAACGCAGTAAGAGATTTGACAGGCAAGCGTAGAAGCATTTCTAATATCACTTTTCTGGAAGGTTCTCCTTCGCCATGGTTGCCTGAGTTGCTTGTTTCTGGTTCTGGGAATGACCTAGCACTAGAGAGGAGGCCATTGGGGGGGGGGGGGGTATGCGTGTGTATTTGGAGGGCTATAGAATGAGCCCTACGAAGCATTTTACCAGAAAATACTAGGTCAAATTTAATGATAACGATTTGTCAATGCTTAGTGGCCAAAAAGGGACTTGTCAGCCACGTGTTGCCAACCAAAGGTGAATAGTATAGTCCTTTATATAATTATATTAATGATTATGAAGAATACTTCACATTGGTCAAAAACAAAAACTTAGACCAACATTTTCGGCTCAAATACTTGTAATCACATTACAGATTACATATTCTGATGTTGTGCTCGCCCTGCTTTTGTTCTCTTCACATGAAGTAAAGATGAGATGCATACCATATTTCTGTTCAGTTTTAATAGCAAGACTGGTTCTATGCATGATTTACAAGAATTGTTTGATATTGGAGATATATATATGGGTTAAACAATTTTTTGAAGAATGTTGAGCACCTTGTACTGAAAGATGGGGCAATACTCTCCCTAAATTATTTTTTCAAGAGCAAAATTGCCTTTCTGTTACAGACCCATCATCTTCTCTGTTACCTACTGATATGGAATAATTGTCGGTCCGTGCACAGTGATAGCAAGGCATTCTAACCTATTTTGTCCATCTGAAGTGGGCTAAAGAGGCTGGAAGTGGCAATGGCAATGAAAGCAATCAGTGTGATTTAAGCAACGAAACAGCAACAAAATGGTCAAACTACCTTGCTATCACTGTGTGTGGGCCTACAACTACCCCACATCAACAAATAATAGAGAAGATGATAAGTCTCTGATGAAAAGGCAATTTTGCTCTTCAAAAAAATTGTTTAGGGGGGAATATTGCCCCCACCCTTCAATACAGAAAGCCCAGCGACTTCTCATGAAAAAAGGTCATTAACCCCATATATATATATATATATATAGAGTAAGCACATGCACAGAAAGACTATCATATATATCAAATAAATAATTGAATAAATTTACCTACAACAAAGTTTTGAGAAAGAAAGTGCTAATCCAAATTTATCTGGTCATCTATAAGTTTTAATTAATATCTTCATACGGAAACTTTATAATTAAATAGGATGGCTCTGTCTCCTGCCACAAGGGACTCCATTATTATTTTCCACCTGCTAATCCAGAAAATGAGAAATAGCAATGACTTATGCATATATACACATATTTACACATATAAAATTTTATATAATTCTCTGGCAAAGTTTAAATAATTACCAACACAAATGCCAAAGAGGCATCAACTTACGTATACTAGATAAGGTAGCACTCAGACAGGAAGGCTGCTCCGATGAGGACTGTCAAGCTCAACAGTGATACGATATCTGCTGTGCCGAAAGATGATTCAGACAGGAAGTAAATTTTATGAGAGCCACTGTCCCCTTTAAATCCTCTGACTATCATAGCCTGCAGTGATTTATTTGTTCAGCTATCAGAAGATGAGTCATGAATCTTTTGTCACTGATTTGCCAAAAGATATATGAAGGAGACATGGGTTTTTCTAACATGGTCCTTAACAAGGTTGATTCAAATCAACCAGGGAAAATGTTTTTAAACTGTTTTTGCAGCTTAGAATTGAAGGAAAATTAAAACAGCTTACAGTTTTAAAGATATGAATCTGTAAAGTAGAGACAAGTTAGATTAACTATTACAATAAGAAAAAAGGTTAAATGATGATGATGATGATTGAAACAGATTAATGGTGAATGAATTAAAAATATGGTAAGCTAAAGATGTTTGAACAGGATTGGCACTGGCCAGTGGGAAAAAAAGAGATCATATCAAAGTACACTTGACAAACCTGAGAAATTTGCTCTGCATGGCTGAAGATATTTTTGAATATGCGCCGGAAGTAGTTAAAAAAAACTGCATTCAAGGACCCAGAAGGAAAAGAAGAAAGAAAAAATCATTGAAATGAAGAGATGTCTTCATTTAAAAGTTGTGAGTAGGAATTCAAACAGAAAGGAACAGATAGACTTCCCAAGATTTAGCTACGTTATTAAAGATCCATACTGACAAACTACTATAGTGACATGCAATAGTAGGCATGAATTACAAGTCATGGAATAGTAATACTATTCCTAATATTCAGTTCAGGATACCAGATAATGATGCAGGTACCAACAAAACAGTTGCTAATGCTTAGACATTACATAAAAATCAATGCCAAGCCTAGAGAATCTAAATAAGATTTATGAACAAGACGATTTTAGATGATACCCATCGACAGGTAAGGTGAAAAGTAAAATATTAAGAAAACAGTACTATGCCTTTCACTGTCCACCGATACCTGGAACCAAGAGTAAGAGCAATAAATATTCACTTACTATCAATTGTCTCCATAACAGTTAGCTGTTGCCAATTTATCCTTCGAGATATAATCCCCAAAGCAACATTCCTGACCTGCAACAAGATAGGGAAAACAAGGGAAATCCTATTTAATGAGTTTGGCCAAATTAGGTTACAAGTTAGAACTATTGAAGCTGCTATTGTCATGCATTATTTCAGTTTCCTTCCCTGGAAATGCAATAAAATAAGTGTTGAGTATTAGTTTTATATCATTTACAAAGTTGCCACATCAAAAGTCAAAACCCTGATCCTTTGCACCAACAGAACCAAACAAAATATTGAAAGCAAAAAGTAAGACTAAATCTCACATCATAAATTGGTATTGATGGAAAAATATTCAGTATTCTCTTACCTCATCAAAAACGAGACTAACAAACCTCAATGAGAGCAAAAGGGTAAGCACAATTTCTGAAACAGAGACACCTATGTGTCTTAGAGGGAGCAAAAACCATCGCAGAGCAAAAGCTAGTTGTTCTGGGGTTGTGGTTGCCAGGCAGAGGCTCGCGCTTTGAAATACCTTTCAAATAAATGAAGACCCAATTCTCATACACAAGTCATGATTTCTGTAAAAAGTGCAAAACAAATGTATACAAGCTTTCATGGGTTTGCAGCAACTGCATTTTAAAATTCCATCATCTTTTCCCAATCCAAATTCAAAATGCAGGAATAATTCAATAACAAAGACGTTAAAAGTGAAAGAAAGCATAGAGGCAGGAGTGAAGAAAGTTGCCTACAATGAAAGTTAAACATGCAGCGGTGCTTGCAACAGATAAGCCTTTCCTTGTAAAAGTTAGTGGGCCTAACTTCATGATTACGTAAGAATAACCTCTTAAAGATACAGGAAGATCAGGAAGCCCCATCATGGCAGGTGGTGGGGTTCTCGACTGGACAAGGGGGGGAACACCATCTGAACCAAGCCCTAACATTATGAATAACAATCCTGAGAGCAAATACACTCTTCCCAATTGATCCTGCATAATTGTAGAATTAAGAAATTCCTTAACTTAGCACATCATCCCAATGTGGAAACAACTGTGAATATTCTAACAGCTATCAATGACAAAATATAAGGGGGAAGAGGAGGGGAGGGGCAACATCGTACTTAGTGCAAAAGGTCATTTGGCACTTACAATATACTAATCTAAGTAAAATGTCAAGGGCATCCTTCCTCAGGGAATAAGGGAAGTAAGGCTTCAAATGGGTTAAATTATTTCCGGAAATAAGAAATCAACTATGTGTGTACTTGAATAGGAAACACAGGATGAATACCTTAATGAAGGCAAAGGGGAAAAACAGTGAACATCAGGTAGAGTATCTGACAACACCATGGACCTCAAATTGATAATCAACTCACCAAATATTTTTATAAAGTAGAAAACAACTATCTGCAAATGCATATGGCATTATGGCTTAAGTATAACCACCTCAGCTGGCACAGTGAAGTTAGGACAGCCATGACATGTGTTTTTGTGCTGATGCGATCTTGAGTTTGATAGGATTCTATCAACAGCGTAGATATAAGAGATCAAGACTTAATAATGACTAACCAATACCTCTATTCCCTAAGCATGATGAGTCAATAGATTCAAATTACTTACCATCCAAACATCTTTTGGTAGAGTCCAAATTGATAGCAGAGTCAAATATATAACTAATCCAAATCTCATAACTATATGTGATCTTGCTGGCAGAACAACCAGAGCCACAAGCCACACCTGTAAAACTAGCCTGATTTAGTAATAATTAAACATGCACGTGAGCATAAGCACACAAACAAACAAACAAAAACAAAAGGGAAACAATCAAAGAAAATCAGCAATACAGTAGATTTTGTAATGTTAAACAATTGCTGATCATTCCATCATGATTGATGGAGAATGAGAACTACTTAACATTTTATAGACTATACCAAAACCAATCCAACATGTATTGAAGAAAACTTCAATAACATATTCAAATAACTTTATACAAGACCTCAGCTAATCCAAAAGTCAGCGCCATATAATGATTTCAGATTTCTGAGACGGATGGAAATTGGTCTTCTCATTGATTCATTCATGTGTTTCAATTCGGGAATTACATTGCTCTTTTATCAAGAACTACTATGACATTTGAAGGATATCAAAAGTTACACCCGGCAGTAGCAAAGCAAAGTTAATAAACATAAAAAACAAAACCCATGCTAGTGGTCTCTGGAACAACATACTTATTTGTCATTACTAACATGTAAAGGTATATGACAGGAAATTTAGCTATTATTTTGCACATATTACAACCTCAAAACTAAAACACTTCCTTAAACAAGTTCGTCTCAATTCATTGAAAAAACTTGATAAACCAGGGTTCAATACACAAAATCCATAAATTGATTTCGAAGTCACTCACCAATTTGATTCGAGGGTCTACAGAATGGAGAAACGTAGTGGGTGAAGCTATGTGCTGACCAATGGGGCTAGCTGTGGCACCTGCAATCAATCTGAGAACTTTATCAGCAGCGAGAGCGCTGGGGGGTACCCACTTAGACCAATCTGCTGTGTGACCATTATCACCAGCCAAAGCTCTAATTTGAAGGCTCGCCTTCTTCACCAGCCAACGGGTCGCTTTCCTCTGAAGGAATGCACAAGGGGTTGGGCGAAATTTTGGGAAAGTTACAGACTTAGGACCAGAACTCAGAGGTAGAGACGATGGAGAAGCGACCAAAAGAAAAGCCCCATGCTTACAGTTCATGGGTGAGGGTCGAACTGTAAAGGAGAGGGAAATGAAATGAAGACAAAGTGTGTCGCGATACTCCAATCTGGCAATCTCTATGATTCGTATTTCGTGGTGCAATTGATCGTTTCCCAGAGAACGCTTTGATGCATAGTTTCAATGTTTCATGCTTCCTTGTTAGCGTGCTTGTGTCCGCGGCTGAGAGTTCCCATGAAAACCGGTACAAATCTTATCAGACAACAAATATTCGACCAAGCGGATTGTGATATTCTTTTTTCTTTTTTTTTGGCCAACAACTACAAATTGAAAATAGTCACGCCCAGAGTCAGAGACCTATGATATTCTTTTCTTTGATTTTTCAGCCAACAACAAATTAAAACTGCTATGACAAAAAACTGATATTATGGTGCCTTGGCCATCTGTGGATTTAAAATTTTGTCACTTGTCCACATAAAATGATGTTATTTTTTTCTTATATCTTTGGGTGAATTATTTTTCTTATATTCTAATTTTATATGAATATTATTATTGTCCATATAGATGAATATTACCATTTTACAAGTATTAACTAAAAAAATGGAATCAACATGGTATTGATCCTAGAAAAATGAATTATAGTTATTTAAGCACAATATCTCAAATTTAAATTTGTATAAATGATAGGTCTTCCAACTTGAAATATGATGCAATGATATTGTATATCAGATAACTATGTGTCTGTACTCGTCAACACTCACATATAAAAGAATGGGTATTGCAAATTCCTAGTTATTCACATTGGTAGTATTAGAGTTAAATTTAATGATAGTAATTTACTAATAATTGTAAGGTATGAATATCTGCACGTGTTTATGGAAATTCATGATTATGTTTTAAAAATAAAAAATTATTGATATACTAATTCAAGTTTAGATATAGTTTGGTCATAATTAAAAATTGAAAATAGTTACATAAAAGTTATACATCCAATTCCAAGTGGGCATTTGGTCTAGTGGTATGATTCTCGCTTTGGGTGCGAGAGGTCCCGAGTTCGATTCTCGGAATGCCCCCTTTTCACGTGATTCTTCCTTCCGTTTTTAAGTCTCGAAACTCACAATCAGAGTCATCTTTTATGGCTGCTTCAGTCAATATTTATACACAAATACGAGGTAAAATTTATCATTCCATATATACTGTCACCCAGACATAAAAGAATAGAAAAAAAAAAAATATATGTAATTAAAACAACAGTAAAAGAAAAGTTGAATTCTTTATGGTGATATATCGTAGAATATTTTCCAGAGACTTGCCATGCCATGAATCTGTTCATCTTAGAATCAGCCAGGAACCCCTGCATGGATAACCCCAGTGCACAGCATTTGTGTTCCACTCACAACAATTGTGATAATCTCCAAAGATCGCTGCAAAAATACATTTGTATAAGAAGATTGAAAAGTTAATGCTATATATATTTGCCACCCAGAAAGCTTACCATGCAGAATTGGTTATATATGTATGTATGTATGTATGTATATGATGATTCTTTCATGTCAAGTTCTAATGTTTTACAAACAGGGGCTTCTGAACTCCTTAACAACTAATTCAGATACCCATATATCAAACAGTTTGAATTCCTCTCATAATTGTTAATCAGATGATCAGCAAATCAAAGTGAACAACTTTGGACATTTCTCATCCATCAATATTCAATGTAATACAAAAAATATAAAAAGTCCAAAAAATTTGTGTTTTTCACATGAAGAATACAACTGATCATTCTTTAAATTTCGTACCATTCTATGTAAATACTTCTATATAAAACTCACAAAATAAAATTTTTTAAAAAATAATTTTAAAAAAAAATAAGTGATTTTTTTATAAAATAAACTGAATTATATAATGCATATATGAGTTTTAGCTAATATATGTATAAAACAGAATTGATGCAATTATTAAATTTTTCAAATTTTTCCAAAAATTTCATTCTTCTGAAAATTATATGTATAAAATAAAACAAAAATAAAAATATACAGATAAATAAAATTCTCATTTATCATCATTTAGAAATCCCATGTTACCCAGGAGGATATTCTAAGAGAGCTTACCAGACTTGCGTCCGTCCAACCAACTTCAATCTCTTTACAAGCTAATCTGAACGATGATTAGAGCAATTGATTCATCAGTCATGTGAAAAGTAACATCAAGTGAATGAAATATTAATACACTGTTATATCAAAGTAATCAATGTGGTTGGATCTAACAAAAGAGACTAATTTCTCGTAACGTGGTGAATTAAAGTTTCGTAACGTGGTGAATTAAAGTTTGAAATGTTGGTGGGAGAATTCTAACAGGAAGACTTCTATGGTATGTACAATGAAAAATATATATCAGAGTAAGAGAGTGACCCCATGGCTAGTAAGGTGAGAGCCCAAGATGTGAGTGAAGATGTGGCTGCAGTATATAAGCCAGACGGAGTCCCATCGGATACATTCTGCAATCCAGTGAGTGAGGTGGTGAAGCCCACCACACCAGCAATCAGAGAGAAGACTATGAACACACCAGTTGCTGCATTCCCAATTGGAAAATATATCGGAAACAACTGAACTGGAGGCGACAGATTTGATGCTGCAGGCATTTCCACAAACACATGACCGACATGCATGAATCAATACCATATCAATACACGCAATAAAACCTATAATAAACAATAATACGACTCATCTATCAGGAGAATATGAAGGAACTTATGATGATTAATTATTACCTGTTTCACGAGACCTTTGAATCCCATGGTTGACTGCCCAGGAAGCAATTGCTGTAACTATGAAGTACAAGACTAGGTTAAGCACCAAGAGGATGGGGGCTGCTGATTGTTGTCCTCCGGAAGCCATGGTTCTATATAAGCTTGAAGCTAAATGAAAAGCCTGACAAAATATGAACTTGGTTATGTTTTTGAAGGACGAGTGGAACAAACTGATATTTATTGTGGTCCTCTTTAAGTTCGACAGCGATGATATAAATGTCGATTCCTTGCTGCTTCCGTTGAAATAGTTTTCTTCGATATGAAGAAAAGACTTGGATTCCTTTCCCCTGTCCTTTTGCCAGCCACCTGGCAGAGTAAAAGAATCTTGAATCTGCAGCCACAGAACTTATATATTTAAAATATTTATTTTTGAATATATTAGTTATATATTAGTCTTATATATTAATTTTTAAATATTAAATAGTTATTTAATATTTAATCTTATATATTATTTATAAATTAATTGCAATATATAAATATTAAATAGTTATTTAATATTTAATTTTATATCTTATTTATAAATTAATTGCTTTATTGGAATATTAAGGTGTTAATAGGTGATTAGATTTAATCAGTTAATCATTGATGACCTTAAAATCTAATTTTTTCATTAAAAAATGCAAAAGTATTTTTTTTAAGAATTGAATGTTAAAAAATATAAAATATTTTTAATATTTTAAAATAAAATTATTATCTCTTTTTTTAAAAAGTTTTTTTATTGAATAATTACTTTATATTTATTTTAAAGTAAAATGCCCGATTACATAGGGGTAAATATAGAAAGATTGTATTAATTTAAAAATAAGTAATTATTTTATTAAAGGATGATATTCAGTTTAAAATATCTTATATTTTTAAATAGATAAATATATAAATGACATTACGTTTTATTAGAGGTTGGGAGTTGTATCCCACACCCATAGGGAGGTTAAAAAAAGTCCTCATTTTATTACTTCATCTCAAAGTTAGGGTTTGTAATTTATCTTAATTGGGAAGATTAATGTAAGGTTTTCATTATCTTTATTGTTAATATTCCCTTCTATAGTCATTTTAATTTGATTATATAAAAGTATATTAAATACATAAGGTTAAATATTTAAATTTTGCCTTTTTTATAAATTGGGACGGAGGTAGTGTATACACACACATATATATATATCTTCTAATCTCTGTTATAAGATATCTTCTATAAATATTTTTTTAGTCTTTAATATAAAACACAAGGTTGGGTATTAATTATATATTTTTAAATATTATTTCTGTTTAAACTCATAAGTTATAACAAAAAATGTAATACAAATTTAAAATTTTTTATTTAAATAAAGATAAAATTAAAAATTTATTTTATTTTTTAAACAAAGTTAATAACTTGATTATTTCTCTTTAATTTTGGTGAGATAGTTAAAAGTATTTTATTACAAGAACCAAGGAGAGTATACATACATACATGAATTTTAGCGAGAATTTAAATAAAAACACGAAATTGGAATCCAAACTAATTTTTAAGAATTTGCAACACAAATTCCGCACACAAGTCACAGCGAAGCCTAGCTCCACATTTGTTGCCTTTGAAAAAATTCATCAAGTAAAGGGAAAATAATAATTACGGATTTTCATAAGATTGTAATGAAAATTACAAATGCTGAAATATTAAAATTTTAATACAAATCATATTTCTTATTTGCAATTAAAAAAATATAAATAATCAGTTAAAAAATCAACAAAACGTACTTAAAATTATTTATAATATTAATTAAAAATTTAAGAGAGTTAATTGTGAATCTTGTAACACTGTCAAAAAAAAATCATAGAAAATATTTTTACCCTAAATATAACCAAGTTTTGATTTCATACAAATAAAATATATATTATAGGATTATATAAGTAAGCATGTATAGTATACCGTAATTATTAAGTATACACACATAAATATATGTAGAAGAAGAAAATACACGCAAGTAATTGTAATAATAATATTAAAATAAATAATACATACTAGTATATGATTCTTCCAGGATTTTGAGATTCACGTATTGCCCTTACATTTTGCAGGATATTAACTAAGATGTTAAGGACTTAGTTTCCATGTGACGCCGTTATATTTAGTGGTTTGTTTTACTTTTACTAGTTTTGGTTCCTTTTTTAATTTTTTTATTAAATAAATTGGTTCATTGGACGAAATGAATATTACACCTAAGAAAATGAATTAAATTTTTAAAAATTTAAAAAAATAATTAATTCACATTAATATAAAAAAATTTATTATTAATATATAAAAAATCTGTCATTAATAATTTAAAAATTTATAAAACATTTATTATTAATACATAATGTTATATTATTGATAAAAATATTAATTTATTTATAATATAAAATATGATAAATATTAAATTATTTATTTGATTTAATTTAATAACATAGGTTTTTATTTGCAAATACTTTTCCCTTATTTTTTTAATATTAAAAAGAAACTAACAAAGCCTTCCGACAAAATGATAAGCCACGTTTCCCAAAATGAATGAGAATAAAAGGGAGAAAAAGAAAAGAAAGAAAGAAGAGAGCTGGCAAACGAGTGTTCTGATCTGACATGACATGTATGGAGCAAGCTATGTAATTACATCGAAAAGACCAATTTCCATCCGTATCAGAAGTCAGGAACCATGATATGGCGTTTACTTTTTGATCAGCTGAGGTCTTGCATGAAATTATTTGAATAATGAAGTTTTCTTCAATACAAGTTGGATTGCTTTTGATACAGTGTGTGTTTGGATAAAATTATAACTTGGAAAAGTCAAGGATTGCTGGAAAAACGTATTCACAATGGATGATCAATTAATTTTAAAATTACACAGTAATTTCAGAAATCCTAACTGTAATTAATTTATAGTGTAAAAAAATAAAAATGCCCCTATAATGAAGGTCCTAACAATCACACGAAATAATTTATTGTTAAAATAAAATAAGAATTATTTTTTTAAATGGTGTGTCATTCACCAACTTTAAATACAATCCTTTTAGGATGTGTTTGGATTTCAATTAAAAAAATTAATTATTAGAATGTGATGATATTTGGATAAATTTTTAGAAATTTATTTTGATAAATTGAATATGTTTGGATGATTTTTTAAGAATTAATTTTGAATGTGTAAATAAATGATACAAAAAAAAAGAGCCAAATGAAGTTTTGCAAATGGAATAAATTTCAACTTCTCTAAAATGAAGTTTCTCAAGTCTGGCAAAATTTTGTAAAATGAGGGTGTTTTGATAAATTTTTGCAAAATCATAATATTGATCCCAAAATTAATTCTCAATAAATATCCAAACAGGCCCTTACAAGTTAGAAATTCTAACACACAGAATAATTTGTCATTAAAATGAAAAGGGGAGTTGTTTTTCTTTTCTTGAATGGTGTGTAATTCACCAAGTTTGAACACAACCTTTTCATAAATCATGAATTTAAATGCATAGAATAATTTGTTGTTAAAATAAAAAAGAAAGTTGTTTTTTCCTAAACGGTGCATTGTTCACCAGTTTTAAACACGACATTTTTACAAAAAATGAGTTAAAACACACGGAATAATTTATTGTTAAAATAACAAAAGGGAATTGTTTTTTGCCAAACAATGTGTTGTTCACCAACTTTGAACACACAGCTATTACAGGGGCATTTTCGTCCTTTCACAGTGCAAATTATTATAGTTAGGACATTCAAAACTGCAGTGTAATTTAAAAACTAAGTGATCCTCAATTGTAAATATGTTTCTCCGGCAGTCTTGACTGTAATTTTTCCTTAGTTGGGGCATGATAAAAGCCGAAAAAATTTTGTTTGGATTAAAAAAAATAGTGAAAAGGTGTTGGGAGAGAAACGCGCGACGAAGCTGCTGGACGGTGCTGGTGGGACGTTTGGATTAGCGGTGGGCTCAAGCAGATAGAGCATAGTGTGATTCAAGGGAAAAGGAAGAAGAGAGGGTCAGCTCTCTGACATATTAATATTAGCTTAATTGGTAATCAAGTGTCGTTAATTATTTATTAATTGTATATATCGGTGATGTTTTTGCCTGACATTACTTCTTACCTTTTTGCTAATTCATCCTCTACTTGCCGCTAAAAATTAAGATTTTTTACTCAATTGTAATTTTCAGTTTAATTTTTTTAAAAAATATTAAATTAATTACAAAAATATATACAATAAATTTCATGTACGTTTTTTTTCTTATTAATTATAATTTTAAGTTTAATACTTTTTCCTAAAAATTTCAAATTAGTCATAAAAATATATACAGAAAAATTTATTTATATTTTATTTTTATACATTTCAACTGTCTTTTAAATCAAATTATTTAAATAAATTTTAATTTATTCAACTGATTTTTTTTTTAAAAAGATATCCGAACACATAAATTATATTACAATTATACGCCTTTTTTCCTAACCTCAATTAAGTCCTAACTTAATTGTAAATTTTTTAATCATATACGTAGTTTATAAATGCTGCAGAGTTCTCATTTTCCATCAATCATGACGGAATGATCAGCAACTGCTTAACATTGTATTGCTGATTTTCTTTGATTGCTTCCCTTCTGTTTAGTGTTTGTTTGTTTGTGTGCTCAAGCTCGCGCGCATGTTTAATTATTAGTAAATCAGGCTGGCTTGACAAGCATGGCTTTTGGCTCTGGTTGTTCAGCCAGCAATATCACCCATGGCTATGTGATTTGAATTAGTCATACATTTGACTCTGCTGACTCTACCAAAAGGTGTTTGGGTGGTAAGTAACTTGAATCCATTTACTCATGTAAGGTATAATATCTTAATATTCTTTCCATCTCAAATAATAAAATATTTTTAAAATAAATTTACTATTTTAAAATATGAGATACTTTAAAAATATTAATGTTTTATTAAATAAATTTATTTTAATATTATCCTTTTTCTTTCTATTCAATATTAATTAAGTGTATATTTAAAGTTATTAAATAAACAATATTTATAAAAGTTTATATTTTTTTAAAAAAAGTTATTAAATATATTTAATAAGATTTATTAATATGTGAGTTTTTATTTAAAAATATCTTATAACTTAAAATAAAAAAGATAATATAAAATGAATACAAAATATTTTTGAAATTTAAACAAAATAAATTTTTATAGATAATATACACTAACACTTTCCTTCAAAGTCATTGTACTTTTCGTAAAAGCTAAGCTTGTATTGTTTAATCT